ACACACACACACACAAAAAATAATGGCTAAATAAATATAATAAAAATATTTTAAAAACCATCAACTTTACAGAACCTAGAATCACTTAGGAGACAAATCCCTGGCCTTGTCTGTGAGGAAGTTTCTGGGTTAGATTAGTGTAAGAAGACCCACTATGAAGGTAGGCAGCACTATTTCCTGGGCTGGGGCCCTACATTGAATAAAAGGAGAAAGCGAGCTGAGCACCAGCATCCATCGCTCTGCTTCCTGACTGGACACAATATGACCAGCCATCTGTGGCTCCTGCCACCAGACTTCCTCACCAGGGTAGGCCGTATTGTAAACTGTGAACCCAAGTAATCCCTTCCTTCCTTAAGCTGCTTTTGTTAGGTATTTTGCCTCAGCAGCTAGCACACTGTCCTTCCTGTCTTAGTTTAAGTCCCTCCCCGAGACTACTCTGTGACTTGTTTATGTTTCCTGTTAGCTCTTACAGATGGCCAACTAGAGGATGCTTTGTCATGTGATTTCCTTTTACTGATGACAGTGATGAAACAATACTCAATGGAAATAATACTTTGAATGTTAAACTTTGATTTTTTTTTCCTGGGATGGTAGTTTGTGACACAGTGCTATCTTGATGTTGGGTGACTCCCTGTCAGTAACCAAAGGGCATACAAGCAGTCCTTCACAGTGTACTATTTGGCCAGTGTTTTGATAAGGTAACTATGCTGGATAGCTTTAGTGTCAACTCGACACATCTGGGTAGAGAGAACCTCAATTGAGGAATTGTCTCCATTGGACTGGCCTGAGGCCATGTCAGTGAAGCATTTTCTTGATTGTTGAGTGATATGGAGGATCCAGCCCACTGTGGGCAGTGCCATCCCTAGGCAGGTTGTCCTGTATTGTATAAGAAAGCAGGTTGAGCATCGGCCAGGGGAGTAAGCAAGTAAGCAGCGTTCCTCCACGGTCTGTGCTCCAGCTCCTGCCTCCAGGTTCCTGTCCTGAGTTCCTACCTTGGGCTCCCTGATGAACTGTGACCTGGGAGATGTAAGCTGAATAAACCCTTTCCTCCCCAAGTTGGTATTGGTCAGAGTGTTTTGTCACAGCAATTGAAATCAGACTAGAACATAGCCAGTATATTACATGAAACACTGAACACACTTTTACAAAACAAAGTTTGTGTTTGATGGTTTTTCCAAGCTGTGGGCCAACACGAATGCTCAGGTGGGCGGCCCTGCTATGCTTTGCAGTCAGAGGTATCAAATGCATTTTAAAATAAAATGTCCTCAGCTTAGTGGTGCTGAGGGAGATGAAACAAAGCCACTTCTTTAGAGGTGTTTGGCTAAGACTATTGCATTGTTGAACACTAAGAATGTCAGTGATAGCCCCTCATACTAAGCACCCCTGTTAACGCTTATTTTTCCTTTAAGTAAGCTAAGATGTTGGGGGCTGTGGTGATTTGATGCCCTAAGTGACAGCTGTCAGATCCTTCCTTAGTGCCCTAGATGGCTTCAGTGGTTGACCGTCAGCCAAGCAGCTGAGCAGATGGCCCTCATGACAGCTTGTCTACTTTAGGCACTGAATAGATACCTTGAAATTTCACAACCAAAGTTACTTGCTGTCAGTGTCCAACTCGAGCCCTAGAGGGTGCTGCTCCAGCCACAACTGACCTTTATCATTGGTATAGCAGGCTGATCTGGTCACACAAAGAGAAGATGGTGGTAGTGGTGGTAGAGAGGTAGCAGCAGTGAAGGGGGCAGTGATGGCAGGGGCAAGGCAGCAGAGTTCCAGAGAGTGACCAGGTGGAAACAGTGGGGAGCAGTGGTGGGGCAATGGGGACAGCAGATGTGGAGAGAAGGTGATGGGGTGGAGAGCCAGTGCTGAAGAAAGCCTGTGAAGAGCTACAGATGGAAAACAGCGGGCAATGGCCGCTGTGCAAGTTCCAGAGAACTGCCAAGCTTTACAGGCCAAGGCTCTTAGACACCCAGGCCCAAGAGCTGTAACATTACCATGGCAGGAGCTTAGGGATGCAGTACAGAGCTGTGACACTAGTAGGCAGTGCCTGCTGCTGCTACTGCTGAAAGCCCAGGATTATACTAGCTGCCTAAAGCTGACGATTAAATCCCAGCACAATAAGCCGTTGAGCTGAGCCTGAAAGCCATTCATCTCTAGCTTGTAAAGTTGAAGCAACAGGACCTGGACCTATGAGCTTCTGGGTCTGGGTGATGGTTGGTTTTAATGTCAACTTGCTACAAATGAGAATCACCGAAGCAGAGAGCGTCATTTGAGGAATTGTCCTGATTGCCTTCGTTTGCGTGGGAAGACACCCCCCTGCCCAATGCGGGTGGCACCTTCTGGTAGCAGTCCAGATAAAAGGGGGCACAGCAGAAGGAAGATTATTTGCCTTTTGCTTGTTTGTCCTTACCCCTTGCCTCTGATTGACTGACCCTGTTGCTGCTGCTGCTAGCATTGCTGACAGCAGAGCCAGCGTTACCAGGGTTCTATCACTGTTGGAAGACCCAGCTCTTCAGAAACCCTCCTAGTTTTGGGCACCAGCTTGGAACTGCTGAGGCACCCAGCCCTGTGGACTGAGCACCTATCAGGATCTTGGCCTCTCCAGTGTGAGACAGCCCCTGTGGGACTCCCCCAACTGCTGACACACCCACCCAGCCTCAAGGACCGAGCAGCTACCAGGGTCCTCAGCCTCTCAGGGGTGATTCAGCTGCTGTTATTTTGATATAAGCTGATTTAATGAATTATATATATTCATTCTATTGGTTCTCTTCCTCTGAAGAACCCTGACTAATTTAATCTGTCTTGGGCACTCCAAAGTCTAGGATTGTGAGCCTCAGAAGAGCTTCTCACACACCTCTGGTTTTCATCCGAGTAGAGAAGGACCCCACTCACTGGCTGAGTGGAAACAGGGCTGTCAGGTAGTGATTCCATTGACATCAGAGGCACCTCTTCCTTTTGTTCACTCACTCATCCTGCAAACATTTGTTGAGTGTTATGACGTGTCATGTGCTGTAAATGATGGGGTACAGCAATAAACAGAATGAACCAGTACGCCCTGCATGCAGGGAGCTGGCATGCTACTGAAAGAAGTCAGGCAATGAACACAGTAAGCGAAAAGAAATGCGTATATGCATATACACATATATTACATATATGACTGACTAAACATGATGCATCATATACGTATATGCATTATATAT